CCCGCCGCCAGCGCCCCCCCTGACGCACCCAGCCCAACGGGGCAGCAGGTACCTGCCCGCTCCCCGCACGGTCCCGGGCCCGGTTCTCCCGGCTTCCCTGGCGTTCCGCTGCTCCCGGCACGGAGAATCTGCTCCTTGATTTTGATTGGAGGAACAAATGAAAACCCTGTTAAAAAATTCTTCTTGTTTTTTGTTAGGTTGACCAGCTCATGCGGAAGTGCTGGATATTCAAACACGATGAACGGACAACTTTCCACAAGCTCATACAAGGATTTGAAACAATTATGAATAAAATGTAATTCCTTTTTTTTTTTTTTTTTTTTAATACTGTCAGTACTTCAAATGTGTGTCAAAATATAAATGCCCTGGACCGTTTATTTTTTAACTACTGTAATTTGTATTCTGACTGTGCTAATGTGCTTAAAGGATTCTTTTTCCAACAGTTTTCCTTTTATATTTTAATTTGGTCAACAGTTGGATCAAATTAATTAAATGGTAACTTCTTTTGCTCCAGTTATTGCAAGAGAGTTTTATCTTTCTCTGATGAAGGTAGTTAGAATTTGAAGGATCCTGGCTGAATACGAACTGAAAGAATGATCTCAAAAATGCTGTAGTTTTCAGTGCATATAAATAATCTTTATGTACCCTTTACAACAAGCAAATCTGTTGTTCACATATAGTCCTAGAATACCAAAACCAGTGGACGCAAGAGAACTTACTATAACAATTTACCAGTTTTTAAGGGGATCTTGTAAAAGCTTTTTTTTTGTTGTTGTTTTAAATTCTGGCTGACAAGCAGCTGTCACGTGCACTTAAATTTTAGTAAAAAGTCAAAAAAAAAAAAAACCCAATTAAGGCACAGAAAGGCAGCAGGTCCGAGTGCGTTCACACATTAAGAACATAATCTGTGTGTCACGTTCCTCCTGCAAAGCATCAGTCAGGATGTGTTGGTGTTAGTGCAGTCCCTGGAGAGCAGCCGGGCCGGGATCACCTGCTTTTAACCAGCTCAGCCCTCCTGCCTCCGCCACCCACCTGCTAACGCTGCCGGGAGAGGAGCCAGGAGGGCCCCGGTGCCGCCCGCGCTGCTCCCGGCGCTCTCTGGCCAACAGCTGATTCAGCAGTTTTTCTGCAAAGCCCTGGGGACAGAAGCGAGGTTAGGACTGTTCATTCATGCTGGATAGTTATACTTTAAATCACAACAATAGCATTGTACTTCAATTTGACTTACGGACTCAAAACACGCAGTGAAGCATTCGCCCGAGGAGGGTAAACGTTCGCCTAAGGAGAGCGGGGCCAGCCCGGGACCACGCGCTGCCGTCAGGAGCGGACGCGG